GAGAGAGAGAGAGAGAGAGAGAGAGAGAGAGAGAGACTCTATTAATTTTTATATTCAGATCTCAAATAAAACACCCAAATCTATTGCATTTTGCGACGAATATACTTTTGACTATTGCCCACCCATTTTGCCGTAGCCTCGGGTGAATATTGACTCAAATTGATCATGGCATAATATGACAACTCCCGGGACAGTGTGTTTAAGTAACGCTCGACGTTTGGACAGTCGCTCAGATCGTATTGTGTGGTCAACAGTACGGCCGTTGAGGCCAGTAGTGTCAGGTCGGCGATAGTCAAGTGCTGAGCGCCGGTGGCGTAATGATTGTCGCCCAACAACTGGTCAAATAGTTTCAGATTGTTTTTGAAGGCCAACACTTTTTCTGGTGGCGGATCCGCACCCGTTAACAATTTCCACAACTATAGTGTTGGTTAAAAGCAAAATAAATTAATAAAAATTGATCAAGTTGTAACAGTAGTATCAAGTTGTTTTGTTCACTAACCACTCCCTGTTTGGATGACTCCATTAATGTAAAATCAAAGTTAAGCCACCGGTCGACGAGCGCCCGGGCCTTAGGCTCGCGCGGGTATAGAGTGCTGTCCGGCCGGTACTGATTGCACAGGTATTGCATTATTGCCCGGCTTTCCACTAAAACAAACCCCTTGTCGTCCAGAGTCGGCAGATTGTGATTTGGGTTTACCTTATTATAAATACAATTTAAATAAATATGGTTATGATAGACAATATTTAGAGAGTATATTATATAAATTATTATTATTTATTAAGTACTAATTAATTAAATACCTTTAAAAATTGAGGGCTCCATATTTCAGGACCAGGGTCAATCTCAATCACGTTCAAATCAATGTTTAACTCCTTGGCTGTCATGAGTACAGCCCGGCAATAGCTGCTCCGATTAAATGAATAAAGGTCCAACGACATGTTAATTATAGAATAAAGGCTTTATAACCTTGCTCAATTAATTTTAATATATAAACTATTATTTTAAATCAATGTAACTTTAATAGAAATATTTTTGTATTTCTAGTAATATTTACAAATGGCTGGTTTTATTGAGTAATACTTGCATATAATTATTTTACAAGGTTAAATAAAATTTTATATTATCATTTAAGGCGGTGTATTGAAAATTCTTATCACGCATACTGTATTTAAAATACCTAGCACTTTATCGCCGCATAACTAACATGCAGTGATTTTGTTGTAATCATTTATTATAATTAATTATTAAAACTTTTTATAATTTAATTAATCCTATATTTTATAAACATTACAACAATTAATTGTGTTTTGTTTGATAAAAGTATTGCTATAGCAATAGTTTTATGTGATAACGTTTGGTAAAATGTTATATTAATTAATCTAGATCCAGTTGCATGTAAGGTTACCAGAAATACATATTAAATAATTTAATTTGCATTAAATTTGCACTTTAGTTTAATTTGCAAAATTGTTTTATTTAATAATAAAAATGTTTAATTCATTTGTTTATTAATCAATATAATATATACTGTAGTATAAAATACAAGAAGTTTCAAATTTTTATGAACTATAAACTTATAAGTTATAAACCGCTCGATACTCTTAAACAACACAAAAATATTAATTAATTAAATATGAGATTTATTTGTAATTTTAATAAATGCCACAAAAGTTTTACAACAAAAAGATTTTTATTTCAACACAAAAAATGGTGTTCATAAATATATACTTTAAATATTAATGCTTAAAATATTGTTAATAATACGTTTATTAAATAGTCATGTAAAAGCGGAAAAACATCCTGTTATTACAATTTCATTAATGTAAAAAATAACTAAACTAATAAAACATTTGATAATTATTTGAATATGGCAAACAAAGTCGGGTCAAAGCCTTTTTTAAACCTTGAACATAATACTTTACAAATGTTAAAATTTCTTAAACATTAAAACGTGTGTAAAATCAATAATAAAATGTTTGTTTCAAACTTTGAACTTCAAAGGGTTGAGTACTTTACTCTTGTACAAAAGTATTTTATTTTTTATTTAGCAGTTTTGAGTTTGGTTTTGTAAGTTTCAGTCAGTATAAGTTACAAGTTATCCATAAGTTTGCAGTTAAGGTATAATATATCTAAATGTTAACTTAATCACATTAAATTGAATATAAATTTAGTGTTTTGTATTTCATATAATATAATTATTATGTGTTTAATAATGAGTGAATCTTTAAATGAAATGATAAATAAATTAAATTTAGTGATGAGTTTGTGTGAAATAATAGACAAAATTCAGTGTATTTTGAATTCAAATAATAGTGTTTTGTGTGAAGCGATTGAATGCAAAAATAATAATTATTTTTCAATTAATCAAACAATTGATTGTAATTCGTGTAAAATCAGTGATAAAATGCTCGCAAATTCACATTTAATGTTTTCTGATATTAAAAAGTTTAAATGTGATTTTAAAAATTGTAATAAACTATACAAACAAAAGTGTCATTTATATAGACATAAAAATAGTTTTCACTTCAATAAAATATTTATTTGCGATTTCAGTGAATGCGACAAAAGTTTTACACAAAAACAGCAATTATTTCGACACAAAAGTTCTGTTCATTTGAATGAAAGGCAATACAAATGTGATGAAGAAAATTGTGACAAAAAATTTAATCGTATTTCATATTTAGTTCAACACAAACGCATACATTCGGGAGAAAAGCCTTTTGTTTGTTATTTCAATGATTGTAATCAAAGTTTTAGTAACAAATCTAATCTCAAAACACATATTAAAAGACACAATAATATAAAAAGCCATAAATGTATTTATAATAACTGTAATCAACGCTTTGTTACGTCAAGTGATTTGAAAAGACATATTAAACGCAAACATAGTTAAAAATTATTTTAATCCTTTCACTTAATACAATCGCATACTTCACAAAATACATTTGATGTGTGGCTCTGGGAGGCGTCGACCGGTCCTCAGACTTAATATACTTGTCTCACATCAGGCGATGGCTATTAGATCACAGGTAGAGCTCTACCGACGCGACCGTGAGGTCGACCCTCAGACAGGCTTTGGTGGGACAATGGGTGCCCTGTATTGGCAACTGAACGACATATGGCCGGCATTTCACTCATTACAATTTTAATTAGTAATTTTATTTTTTATATCAGTATAAAAATGTGTAATTCAAAAGAAACTTTATATTTTGTATAAACATTAATATTTATAATTATATTTTAATTATAATACAAACTTTAATAATTAATATTTATATTGTATTTAATTAACATTTCAATAAGTTTGTTGTTCAAAAAATTGTGACAAAACTTTTTTACTATTATTTGTTTGCTTGTATTTACAGTATAATTGTAATAAAATAAGACAATATAATCTCAAAAACACATGAAAATTTATAAAATAAAATTTAATCATTTATTCAAAAAAAACTTGATTTAATTGTTGAATAATTAGAAAATATATAAATAGTAACATAAATGGATGTAAATATTTCATAAATTACTTATAAAAATAAAATCTATTCATTCGAAAGTAAAAACTTTATTAATCTATTTATTACTAGATGTGTTTTGAAATTACAGGTAAATCGCAAAACACAGCAAAACTCAAACCATTGTTAATCCAATGAATAGACGGGCAAACAATGCAATACTTCTCTAAGCTTTGCATAGAGTTGTGTTCAATACCTGTATAGAGATTGACAATAGAAGTGGAGTAAAAGTATTGTCACATTTTTGCGCTCATTTGTGTCCCTCAGAGCCAAACACCTGGACATTGATGTCATTGAGAGCACAACTATTACTACAAATAATACTGCATTTGAGACAACATTTCCAGAGTTGGAGTCAAACCAAACACATATTCAAA